AAAAGCACATCATGGTAATTACCGATCATCTGGTGTGTGTTGAGTTAGCAGTGGTTATTCCGTAGAAGCCTGTTTGCATTGTAATCAGATATAATGAAGGTAAACAGTGCCAGACTGTGCGTAACCAGAACTGTGCGCGCTCCTGCGGCACATCTACTCGTGTTTCATTCTTTCTTTGTAGAGGCTCTACATGCTGCAGGGATTTCATTAAGTGAAGGAGCCTATTATACTACAAAGCAGCTTTAGGCAGCAAATACTGTAAGAATCACGCACATAATGTCATAAACCAATTCAGACTGGGTTACTGGCTATCCTGCTGGAATTAAGAGTGTTAATTAACAGGATAGTTACCTAACAGTGCGCATGCAGGCATGTGCGCGTTCTTTGTGGGCTTGGTCAGAGTCCCTCCCTGATAGATCAACCCATACTAAAGTGTAGGACCACACTAAGACTTTCTTACCATAATCTCCAAATTAAGCAATGTTAAGGTAAGGCCATACTCTCTAATAAAGTAATTTGGGGTTTCATTTTAAAGGCAACTTAAAACGAAATGCTGCTTTTAACCTAATGTCAACGTGTATTCTTTTTAGGTACTTGCATTTACTTTGACTATTTCAATTGTTATGCTACTTTACATTTCTCGAGAAGATTGACAAATAATCCATTTTTTTAATCATGCAAAAGTGCAATAAAATATACATTAAGTACCAAAAATAAAAAAGTATACTTATTATGTAGAAATCTGAGTTATATTCAACCATAGAATTATTCTTGTAAAAACAAAAGACATGTTTCTAATGCTGCAGGTAAGAGTGGCTCTAATAAAATGACTTTATATTTTTCTAATTATAATTTATTCTATGATTACATTTTGTATTAACCTGGCATAAATGTTTTATTATTTAATCCAGTACCAAAGGAAGTGGTCACAGTGTCAGGCTGGAGCTGGACAATATCATGAAGATCTTCTCTTTGAAAGGAAGAAAATGTTTCACCATCTTTCTCCTTCTGCTCGTGGCTTTCTTACTCTATGCACTTCATAGAACGGACTTCCAGGTGAGAACTGTTATCTAGGATCACTAATAAGGTTGACTTAAAGGTGGGGTAGGTAAGTTTGAGAAACCGGCTCGAGATACACACAGCAAATTTGAAATCAAAAATTCAACACCCATGTAGTTAATTTTAACACTATAAAAGAGTTTATATTGAAACCACCAGCAAAGTGTTAAATTAACACTTTCCAAAGTGTTGACAATATAACACTATCACAGTGTTACTATACCAACACTAAGAGTGTAAGATGTGAACACCAACACTGAACACCAACACCGATAACAACACTAACAGTGTTGGCTGCATCTTCAATTTAACACGGTTCTGGTGTAGAGTAAGACTACAGTAGTGATACATCTTCTCCCATCTAACACCTTTTAGAGTTAAACATGTACACTAATAGTGTTGCAATTTAACACTGTCCCGGTGTAGAGTAACACTACAGTAGTGATACATCTTCTCCCATCTAACACCTTTAAGAGTTAGAAATGTACACTGAACTAGTGTTGAATGCACATTATACTGGTGTTGCATTTTGCATTAGCCTCAACCCTCTGGGAGTTCAAAATGAACACTAATCTAGTGTCAATGTAGTGTATTGGTATTATGATGTACAACAAACTGGTGTTAAAAGTTACAATGACCAATAAATCATTCCAGATAACATATATGACAAGTGCTTTATTTGAATGGTGGCATGTCTCTTAAGACTGACAAATTCTCCCAATGCACAAATTCTCACAATATGCAATTCAACAAATAAAAAATAACCCTCTATGGCAGTGGAGGTCCAAAAAGGTTGTTTGTTGCCTGCCGTGCCAGGCAACAAACAACCTTTTTGGACCTCACACACCCATGGGGTGGAGGGATAAATAAAAATTACAGCACATAGCTGTCTAAGACAATATAAAAAAGGGTGTCATTGGCACTTGCAGACATTTGCAGATCAAAAGGCTTATGAAATTGCAGTGCATCAGGTTTGATGACTGAAAGACTATCCTGCTTAACAACATTAAAGGCATGAAGATGCTCAACAAATACACTTTCCATGTCTCTTAAGACTGACAAATTCTCACAATATGCAATTCAACCGACATTCAATATTGTTCAACAGCAAAAATGTATATGTACAAAAATAAAAAATAACCCTCTATGGCAGTGGAGGTCCAAAAAGGTTGTTTGTTGCCTGCCGTGCCAGGCAACAAACAACCTTTTTGGACCTCACACACCCATGGGGTGGAGGGATAAATAAAAATTACAGCACATAGCTGTCTAAGACAAGCCATGAACAAGCTTAAGGTGCCGAGTTAAGGATCCAGGCGTATCAAGCAATAATCTGCAAATGTAACACTTATACATTACTCACAAACTTAGTTCTCAGTTCCTTGACCTTGGGGCTCTCACTGGTGGTGTCAACGTCTATGTTATAGACAGTTGTTTGCAGAAATGTGTACATGCTTTTGAGTGCTGGATCATAGCTAGTCCCTAAGACAAAGTGAAGCTTAAAAAGTTCATCAATTGCTGCTAAGGAAGTGGTAGCCTCACAGGGGATGAGCTTCTTGTCGATCAGAATGAAGAAGTTGCCGATGGCCTCCTTGCTGGTCCCTGAAGCAAGAAGATATGGCTGGCTCGTGTCCATATGGCTCTGAAGGTGCTCATCCAGACTCCTACAGGACTGAAGGACAAGGCAAGCAACATTTTCATTTTACATGGCTAACTATGCGCATGTGTGTGTAATATGCAAGTGTGTTTTTAGGAATAGTTTATATTTGCACTAGCCTAGTCCTACTTTATCATAGTGACAGCTCTCTGTAGTAGTTCTGGTGGTTAGATCTAACATTCTTAAACCTGCCACATACCTTGTGAAATACGACCAGATGGTCAATGGCCTGAGCTACACTGATCTTCTGGGTTTTCTTCCTTCCCGCAGGCTGGGGTGACAGGAGGTGCAGAAGGAGGAGAATGGATGCCATATCACTGTCCCACTCTGTAAGAAAAGACAACCCAGTCTCACATCTAAACGTGTAATAACTACGTTGGTCCACAACTTGGGACGTAGTATTTCTACAAAAACGCCTCTGAAATTGTAGGATCCCTACGTGTTTTTTTTCCACGATTCATTTTCAATGGCTGGCGTCTATGTCACGTGATCTTCAACTTTCTCTCCGCAGAAATAAAAAAACATGGCCGACCTTCGTTTTATTCTCGGTAGAAAATGCCTATTTTAAGGTTAGTTTGGCCATTAAAATGCGTTTTGATGTCATTTGATGCGAGAAATATGAGTTGTTATTTCAGATTATGTGTGCAGTGGATGTACATGATCTTTGGTTTGCTAGTTATTACGAAGAATACTTTGTGAAATTGTGTAAATACAACGTTTTCATTGTTACCAAGGTGGTTGCTAGGGACGCTGCTATCGATATTATGTCTGTTATGTTGTGTAACGGTTTAATGGCGTTATCTTTATTGCTACCCGGCATCTAAAATTGTGGCATAGATACGTTATTTTCCATTATGCTCTATATATTGTCTTTATTATGCTTTAAACAGTGTTTCGGGCTTTGGCTATAGGGCGGCTCAAAGTATTTTGTCCGGTCGTTGTGAAGACTGCTTTGTTTATTGTCCTTGTTTTTGTTTTAAATAAAGAGATTTTCAATCACGGGCGCGCATCAAACGTGTGATGTAATGTGGTATTAAAAGTATTAAAAGAGGCGAAAATCACTACAAGTCTGGGCATGTTGAGAGCTGTACATACACACACACATTTCATAGTCTTATATTTCAACAGTTTTACGACAAACTTTGACTTTTTTTGACATGGAAATTATTATTTAAGATTGACAAACATCATATGTGTAATTCGTGGCACAATTCAAACGGGATCGAAAGATAATCTTTCTCTCTCCATTGACTTCAATGCATACTTTTTCCGAAATAACGTCCCATGGAGGAACCCGGAAGTTTGACGGACATTACCCACAATCCTTTGTAGCAACCATAGACTGTATAAAAAAATTCTCCAACTGTGTGGTCATACACTCCCTCCAGCCTCACATAGACAATTTACAATAGGCAATATGACATGATATGACAATGCAGTTCCTAAAACCATACCTGGTGATTCCAGTGATGGTTCATCACCCCTTTGGTTCTTGGCAGACAACAACAAGCGCTTCAGCAAGGGTGTGGAAGTCAGCATTTCTGCCTGTTGGAGGATCTTTGCTTTGAAGGAGGTTGGCCACTTTTCCAGTAGTTTGGATGGAGTTTCTGACCCAAAGAGGAGACTGAAGTCTTGGAGAATCTAAAACACGTATACAGCACAAACGCAAGAACCACCATCAGGTTTTCAATTTACTACTAATGCCAATTTCACAGGTGTAGATCATCTCCATTTAACTGAAGGTTGCTTAAAACGTCTATCAAAATAGATTTACTAATAAATAACATTCATAAGCAACAAATAAAATATTACCAATCCTTTAGTGTCCAGCAGGCGCGGGAATACTGAAAGGACAGTGGAGGATCTGTCAGGATCGTGGACAAGGCGCTGTCTATATTCCAGTGTGTCTCTCATCTTCTTCATGATGACTTCTCTGTCGTTTGTATGATTCATCACAGATATGAGCTCTTGAAATCTCTGCTCATCTGGATGATCATCACAGTGGCCTATCTCTCTCCTTAGCATGGGGCCTCCATTCTCTTCTATTCTGGAATCCTTGGACCTCACAGGAAGTCGTGTTGCTCTCTGAACGGACTTCAGTCGCCACGCTAGAAACCCACCGCCTTTCTGCCCGTCATAAAAATGCTCCTGACCAAAAAGGAAATAAGAGGAATGGTACATGGACTGCACTTACTGTATATAGCGCTTTGGATAAAATTGACAATTCACCCATTGACACAAACATTCACATAACCAATGGCGGCAGCTGCCATGCAAGGTGCAGGCCTGCTCATTGGGAGCAAATCGGGGTTCTGTGTCTTACACTTGCCTAAGGACACTTTGACATGTGGACAGGAGGAGCCGGGATTTGAACCACCAACCTCGCAGTCATTGGACTATCCGCTCTACCTCCTGAGCCACAGCCGCCCAAATGAATTAAACTACCCTACAGTATAAATCCCACAGCATTCAAGGAACCATGTAAGCCATCTAAAACAGTCTACTTTGATCATAATCAAGAATAACTCACATATCCTGTCTTCCCATGTGGATCTTGGAGCGAGGGAAACAGGGTAACAATCCCCAGTGCATACTTCTCTTTGGTCAGTCGCTGAGGGATTCTCCTGTAGAGCAAAAAGTCATTTTCAACATTTCATTCATTTAAGTCTAAGAGCAGTGGCGACTGGTCATTAGGGACACCCCCACCTAGTGTCAGCAGAAAGTATTAAAAATAATGATTACAAAAAAATAAAATATATTTTAAGATCATGTTTAATCATGATTCGTCTGTACATTGCTGTTTTAGTCTGTGTTCTTCTAATTAGTGTCTACAGTGTGTGCCTATTGAGCCGTTTTGAGCCATGTGGGACGAAACCCGATCATGCCCCTCCCTCTCACTGTCTACGGTGACTGTAAAAACTACACTGCGCATGCTCAGAGTATTTTCCTCTGAAAAATAAAACGCCACTGAGACTTCGTTTTAGAACATATAAACTTAATGAACTCAATTTATGTAGAAATACAATTGCACCAACTTCATCCACACTTAACCTATACATACATGACACTTTCATGCAAAGCTATAACAAATTTGAATCTTACCCCTCACTCTGCACCATGTCTGCAACTAGAATGTTCACCATCACTTTTCTTGTGGCAGGACTAATTGTTCCTTTTTCCTCATACTCCTTCAGCACATCACTTCCTCCTGGTTTGGTCAGCAGAACCTGTTTTATCAGTTTAAAACAAAACACAACAAAAATGACACCCGTTAAGTAAGCAGTATAGGTTTATGAGCAATCTACTGGTACAGACACACGGATGGACAGACGTCACTAAAATGTACTCACATTTTTGGCTTGTGGACCCTGCAAAGCCTCCTCCTCTTTTCTGAAGCGTTTCAGAGTGCCACTGTAGAAATCGTTCTCACTGCTGCTTTTCGAAGTGACTGAAAGAGTATCTGTGCCTGAAGCGGAGGATGAGGATGGCTCTGGAAAATAATGTCATCACACAAGAGATATTAAATATGAATATTGAAATTATATGGTCTTCCTTTGTCATGTCTTTATGTAATCTACTGGTGAAGTGTTCTCAAAAAGACAACAAACCCACTGAAAACCTCCATCGCAAGTATGAGTCCCAAAGTCGTTGTCCACAAGAGCGCACTCTACTTGGGACCAATACTTAGACAGCAATGGTGGTTTTTAGTCTAGCAAAAGCTTAACAACAAGGCTTTCAACAAGACCCCCAAGTAAGTACAAAATTATGTATTTTCACTAAATCAGTTGAGTATGCCTTTACCCATGCACGTGTCAATCACACCACACATTTGATTCCTATAAACAATACTTTACCTTTTAAGATAGTATTGTTTATAGCAATGAAATGTGTGGTGTGCTTGACACTTGCATGGGGATAATCAGCATACAATACAATTGAGAAATGTAAAATAGACCCTTTTCTCAGCAGCCATGTTGACATGCTGCGTAAACAGAGATGTAATTTAGGATGTAGGCAGGCCAGGGCCCTGATAATATGCTGTCTCACTGGATTGGCTGTGACACACTAAATAGATCGGGGCCATAATTAATTTGATCTATTACACCTGTGTTTACCCTGCTATGACGTCAAAATAGCTGCTGAGAAAAGGGTCTATTGTCGTCACTCACCACCACTGTCATTCAGTTCATCTTTGATGACAAAGCATATTCCACTGGTAGTCAGTAGATCTGGAAATGCGTAGTCGTCCACTTCTGTGCCAGTGTCATCCTCCACTGATAAGATGTTGTCCACAGGGATGGAAAACCTCTCTTTTACTAAAAGGATTGAAGACCAAATATAAGCTTAAACCACACACACACACACACACACACACACACACACACACACACACACACACACAGGGGGGGGGGGGGGGGAACTGCCTCAATAGTGCATCATGTCCATCTAATGTAACAGTAGGTTAATGAGGGTGGATCGCAAAATTCCCCTCTGTGGGACTAATAAAGGTATTCTGATTCATATGCAGTTCATATACTTGCCTTCAGTGATGAAGATGCCAAAACAAGCTTCTGGAATTTTGATGTACTTCTTTTGGTTTCGGTATTGCACTTTGACTATCATCTTCAGCTGAAGAGAAGAGCAAGAGCCCTATATGGGTAAAATGGAGATACAACATTTGTTATTCCACAAGTTATTAGATTTTTCACATGATGCATCACAACTTCCCCTTCTTAAGCAAGCAAATACTCAAATTGTGTAAGGGTGGCATAATATAAATTGGAACCGTCTTTAGATAAATAAATTCTACTTTATGCTCTGTTCTTTTATTTTTGTATCTTTAAGCTGAGAGGCTTCTATCTGTGCATGACATACGTTTCGGGAACAAATTATGCACAGTGTTGGTGTGTTGCAACCCAGTGTCATTTCGTGTTATAGTCAAAAAAGTAATCTATTGATTTGTGTTCACCAACACGATTTCCCCATTTTTTCCGTGTCACACAGAACGATTTTAAAAGCAATGTAAATAATAACAAATTAGAAGGAAAAAGAGATTTAAAAAAATATAATACAGATTTCAGTATTCTGACACAGAACGATTTTAGAAGCAATGTATTTCTATTGGTAGTATGTTTCGTGCCTGCACCAAATAATAACAAATTAGAAGGAAAAAAAGATTTCAGTATTCTGAGCCATTTCTTTTTCTCCGACATTATACTATTTAAAATAAAAGGGTTAGGCTAAGGGTAAGATATTGAGTAAGAAAATGTGTTTATGAACCACACAGCTTCTGGTCTTCCAAGAGAGAAAAAAATCGTTCTGTGTGACAAGAAAAACTCACTGCATGCAGTCGTTGTCGAGGCCACACAAGATGGCTGCTTCCGCACGGAGCAGAAGAACACGTGCTAGAAAGGAAAAGGAGCCAATTAGCCAACAACTTTATTACTGTACATACACATAAATTATTTCACTTGGGGAACAAATTCAATGAAACGTAGATAACTTACAGTCACGCGGTCTGTTGAGACCACACGGTCGAAACCTGCGGGGACTGATGGCTGCTTAGGTGACACTGAGATAGTGCTAGTGAAAGGAAATAGGAAAAAAAAAGGTTGTTCGCGAAGTCGGCTAACTATACCAATAAGGACCGACACCAGAACCTCTTAGCTAGCTAGCTGTCGAACTATCGTTAGACATGTGCAATACGTTGGTGTTTGTAATGACATAATAGTATGTAACATAGCTAATGTTATCTAATTTGACAGCTAGCCAGCTAGCTAACTAACTAACTAACCGGCTAGCCAACTAGCCAGCTAGCTAACGTTTAGCAAGCAGGTGCACGGCCAGTACAGACAAATATTCTTAGCAAGCTAGTAAACATTATTAGCAACTACACAACTGTAACGTTATTTTCAAATTAAGTAATGTTAGATAACAGGGGAACAAATTAAATGTAACGTTATCTAGATAACTTACCGTCACTCACTGACTGCAGTCTGTCGAGGGCGAGGCCAAGCGATCACACTTGCTGCAAGACGGACTGCTTCCGTTAGACGGAGACTTGACGGAGAACATGCTAGAAAAGGAAAAGGCGGCAATTATCGAACAACTTTTTTACAAACACTAGAGCTTGTTAGCTCGCTGTCGAACTAACGATAGACATGTGCAATATATTGGTCTTCGTAATGATTACATTTTCTGTTACATATCTAACGTTAATTCGACATACATATCTAATTGGACAGTTAGTTTAGCAAGCAAGCATTGACTGTATGGTCTGTGCACCTGCACCTGGTCATGACAGTCAAATAGTAGTAATTAGCAAGCTAGTAATAAAAACAATACATTTACAATTACGCTACCTACCACACACACAACTGTATTTTCAAGCAAAATCAATGTAAGCTATCTGGGGAACAAATTATGAAACTTAGCGATAACTTACCGTCACGGACTGCGGTCTCTCAAGACTGATGGTTGCATCAAAAAGATGGCGGAGATCTAAATAATTTCACGCACATCACGTAAAAGTACCCGGATTGAGAGAACACACTATCCGTCGTTAAATATGTTTAACACCATGATCCAACCCTGTACTATATAGTGTTTTAACAACAGGCGGTGTTAATCATGTTAAATGTAACACCAAAACCACAACACTTTACCCCGAAAAGCTCTAACACCAGGATTTTCACACTGGCGAATTTGCTGTGCACTTGTTATATTCCATGGAATGCTCTTAACATCCCGATAGCAATGAATATCTTAAGTGCTTTGGCAAAAAATCCATAAAAAAATGTTCATCTGTGGAAGCCGTAATACTGTAAAAAGCACGACCAATCATTTTAGCCGGCCCGGCTAAAATAACTGGATGTCCTACCTGCCTGTCAGCCTTCCATCTGTGCACAAACTTATCTCGTGCCCTCATTGGTCATGTGTGCGTTCGTGTGTGTTGGAGGAGGAGCTCTGTAGGGAAGTGGCAGATTTTTTCCGGTTGTGTATTTTCAAATTCTAGCGCAATCGAGCTGGTTTCTCCAAAATTACCTACCCTACCTTTAATGTGAAATGTTTAACATTAGTCCGGTTTCAGGAGATTGTTTTAAATGTGTCTCAGGATGTGCATTGCAGTAAAAAACTAGTAAGATATTAAAAGGTTTGCTTCTGAAGAATTCTTTGCAAAATAGATTTTATGTATTTATTCTTTACATATGCTTTTATTTGATTGGGGAAAAAAGCATATCGTTTAATAAATAGAAACAAGGGTATGTTTAAAACAAATGTTTCCTTTTTCAGCTTCACATATGGGACACATTGGTGAGTTATTTTTGGATTTGTGTTGTGCATGAGCCATCCACAGTGTATGTTCTATGTTTGAGTGTAATGTGTTAGCACAGGTGTTGCTGATTAGAAAAAATATGTTGTGCTCAAACCAACATTAAAGTGCAAAAATACTGAGAACATCAGATCATTTATCTATAATCACAGTCGAGTTGATGGCAATGGCACGAGGCATTACAGGGGATAGAAGAGATATAAATCCAAAGGATTATTCTTTGTTCAGATTTTAAGTTCAGCAATAATGCCACTTCATTACATCCCATCGTAGGCAGGATATTGTGAATGACATTTATGAAACACCATAAAGATTAAGGAGCAGAAGTATCGAGATAACATTTATGTGGATAACATCATACAGAGGAATGAAGGGAAATGAAAATGTGACACATTAGCCAAGCAGTCTCTTAAACATTAGTCAATAATCAACACTGCACTCAGTAAATCTAAGGCAAATAACATAGTGAAATAGAACATCATTAAGGAGTGGCAACACAATTGGGACAAAAGAAACACAAGAAGACACCTATATGCACTGCAGCCAAAAATCGGTCAGGACAGTTAAAAGAACCATCAATTTGGATAATGTGTTAACAAGGCTTAGATTAGGACATACTAGACTAAACAAAACATTGCATTATTCATAAGGAAACATCTATCTGATTATATGAACACTGCCAGGTGGAGGAATCAGTAGAACATGTAATTCTGCAGTTTGCCAAATACAGTCAAGAAAGAGAAACTTTAAAGACAGAAATCAGGAAGCCTGGAATGGAACAACCGAACCTCAAAGAAATATTAGACGTTCAATGTTAGGAGCTGAGTTATGGACACAGTGAAAGGTAAACATGACACAACAACAGTTCTTATCAACCCCATTAACACATATTTATTAATTTGCTTCCAGTGCATTTGTTTGACGTATCTACGTAAACTTCTCTGTCTCTCTCTATCGATTTACAAAAGCAGGAAAAACAAGGCAAACAGTACAGCTGGTCAGCAACTCACAAACATGTTTATTTTTTTAAAAGCAAGAGTGAGTAGATTTTAGATTTCACTGTCTGATGAAAAATATGGAAGAGTTTTTAAATCGGTGGTGTTTCACTACAGCTGTGTGCTCTGTGGTGGGGGGAGAGCTCGGTTTTAACTCTGTTTTTATGTGAAAAGGACAATACAAAAAAAAGAGAAACATTTTCTCTAAATGTCTAGGTAATTAAGTTCATTGTTGTTGAACATCAAAATAAAAGTGTTTTCCAAAATCAAAAAAAATCTCTCTCTCTCTCTCTCTCTCTCTCTCTCTCTCTCTCTCTCTCTCTCTCTCTCTCTCTCTCTCTCTCTCTCTCTCTCTCTCTCTCTCTCTCAAAAGCCCTTCAAGTTTCAGCCTAAACTGAGCTCCACCATCATCCACCCGAAAGCTACTACTAAACCTACCAAAGTCCGCAGCATCTGCAACTTCCCACCATTGTCCCCTAAGGATGCTCTCGAGGAACGCCTGCTACTAGAATATGTTGCTTGGCCTGAAACTCCTGCATTGCCATCTCCTTTTTCCCTGGAGCTGACCAGTCATCCAGCTCACAGCTCTTTCACCATTCTCCCAGCGAGGAGAGGAGGACAGTGGCACGTAGGGGATCAGCTGGAAGTCAGCATCGTCATCTCTGACTTCAAGGGACAACCGAAGAAGTTTGGGGGGGGACCTTTTATTAGCCCGGCTGCACAACCTAACGCTTGGTGCAGGTGTAGCTGGGCAAGTGGTGGACCATCTCAATGGGAGCTACTCTGCTGTCTTTCCTTTACTCTGGGAAGGAGAAGCTCAGGTTGAGGTGATGCTTAACTATCTTTTTCTATGTGATTTTGCTGTAGGTGTGTCCTTTGTCTACCATTTCTAGCCACCAATTGTACATTTTCAACAAAAACTCTTGTTTTCTACCCAATCAGGTGACGCTAGTTCATCCCAGTGAAGCTATCACAGTGCTGAACAGGTTAAATCGTGAACAACCTGATAGGATATTCTTCAGAAGCCTCTTTCGCTCAGGCTCACGCTCTCAAACCACCACCTGTAACATCTGCCTGCGTCAAACCAACCAGCCAATCTGCGACTTCACCGACCCTCGAACCGGCGATCCTTGGTTCTGCTACAAGCCAAAGAACATGAGCTGTGATGCAAGGATCACCCACAGCAGGGGAGGATACAAACAAAACCTCAAGGCCAAGGAGGATAAGCTCTTTCAAGGGTAAGGAAGCAAAGAGACTGGTCATTTGTGTGACTTCTTATAAATACATACATCATGTGTTACCTATTTATCTGCTTGGCTGGAAGTTTCAGAAGTTTGTCAGGTCATGCAGTTTAGATTAAAAGATAATATAAATGTAACCACTCAGTATGAATCATAGTTGACCTTCATTTGAACATTTTTTTATAGTATATATTTTCATGTGGATTTTTTGTTTTAATTTTATTATCTTGTTTATCACATAACATCTACGAATGTCTTTATCTCCTTGGAGAAGAAACCTTTCTCTCATTCTCCCTGAGGTTCTTCTATTTTTTCCCTTTATTCCCTTAATTGTGGGGTTTCTTTTAGGGAATTTGTCCTTGTGTGCTGCGAGTGTGTGAGGACAGAGAGCGTTGTGTGCTCCAGAATACACTCTGTAAAGCAAATGAGACAAATGTGTGATATTTCGCTTTAAAAATGTAATTTGATTATTTTATCCAGCTTTGGTCAAATACACTTTTATTGTCTTTTGCAAAATGTTACGCCGTAAGGCTTAGTTCTAAGGTGTGAACCTTCCAAGTTCACACAAGGAAAGTTTAGGGTGGCAAAAGCTGCAGCAAAAGACCCCTACTAGGGAACAGAACAGGTAAACCTCCATGCCATTCAAGGTTCAAGGCTTTTATTACACATACATACATAGCTGTTAGGGAATAATTTGCTTAGGTATTCAATCTTCGACACAGTTAATCGTTTTCTCTTCTCACTGTCTCTTTTCCCATGGCATAGTTCTACGGCAGGGGTCGGCAACCTTTTGAAGTGAAGTGCCATTCTAAAAAAAATGTTTTATCAGCGTGCCGACCGATCGTGAATTATCAACAGGGGGGGGGGGGTTTGAAGAGCTCGACGAAAACACTCGTGAAAAGTGATGTTTAAAACTCAGTTAATGGGGCTCATTCACTGGCGCTTCCACAAACAACAACCAACATAATTGTTACATTCAAATGAAGTAGCCTACATTATTCAAGTTTACATTAACTTTGGATAATAACACGGGAGAAATGAGCGGAAGCGCTCTCTTTTCCTCTCTCCCCCTCTCTCTCTCTCCTGACAGCCTGTCAGTATCTCATGCAGCTCACTGATCCAGTAATGAGTGACAGTGAAGAATAAATATATTTATAACTAGTTCCAAAGGTAGATAAAATAGCTAAGTGTGTTAGGTCTAACTCTTGTGTGTTTTGCTCCGCTCACCGGTCCGTCACAGCGGGTGGAGCTGCAGGATTTCTGCTTCACACACGTTGCAAACCGCTATTTTATTGTCATTTTCGGACACCTTAAAATACTGCCAGACTGGTGAAGCCATTTTGGCGAGCTTGTTTTGCAGCACACAGGAAAAGTGTCATGTATGTTACGTCTCGCGATCGGCCTTTTTAGAGAGCACCGATCGGTCGGCAGAGAGTGAGTATCGGCCGATATCGATCGCCACGCAAAAACTGGGGCATTTTTACAGCTCCTTATGGGTAATGCAATTTGTGAAGTGCTTTCCTCTGTGGTGAAACTATCAGCCCTGCACCACGGAGGAAAGCGGCAGAAAGTCGCCTGGAGTTAAAGAGAGCGGGGCTGCGTTGCGTGCATGGCTTCCTTCTGCAGGTAACGGGGAGACGCGCTCTGGCGGCGGTCTCGTTCAGGATCCGAAAATAAAATAAATATTTTGTACACTTATTCCACTTATTCCTAGTGTGCCACTGGTTACGGTGCCGCATGCCATTGGTGGCACGCGTGCCAGGGGTTGCCGACCCCTGTTCTACGGCCTTGGGTATTGTTGTTGCCAGTCTATGACAGAGCACAAGCTGCCATGAGGTAGTTTACTGTAAAGGGACGAAGGTTCCCTGGTGCACATTCTTTCCTATGGACGAGAGCTCTAGTTAGATTCAGGGTCTATATTTGTTTAGTCTCGCTGATGAAGAATGTTGATTATTACACTCCGAACTAGTTAAAACCTTGAGCTGCAGAACAGTCCTTCAGAATTGGTTTGGCAACCGCTGTGTCAACTCGTGACACACCACCTGTCTTGTCAATTCTCCGGCCGTAACTCCAAATAAACCATCAGTGTTTGCCATCAAAGC